TATTGGAAAATGTATAATTCCACGTAATAATTGTGAATTGTAAATAAAACCTGGTAACAATCTGCCCCGTGGAGCCTTGAAGCAACTATCCTCATTTACTCAGTGAGCATTATAGAGGAACAGTCCTTATTGTTCCTGACCTGCACCTGATAATGGCTGAACCACATCATCAAGGTCAAAAGTAAGCAATAAAAAAATGGCTTTGTTATAAGCCATCAAGTGCCGTTGAGGACGTCTGTGTTGTGACCTTCTGAATACTGCCAAGTTAAACCTTTTAAGGAAGGTCTTCACTCCCTCCAGTAGTTTGTAACAGGTGGGTCAGACCTGCACAGTACCAGACTCACACCACCGACTTAACACCAAAATATTTATCATTGTCACCTCAGAGATCCCCTACATCTTCACACAATAATAATTCTTGGCTTTTCCACAATAAAGGCCAGAGGGAAGATGGAGTGGCAAGAGAAGGCCGCCTTATAGTTGTGTGTGTTAAAGCTCACTATGGCCGAGTCAACATTAAATTAGGATTCACCTTTGTATAATTTAACGTAGCGATGTAATGAGCCGTTTGGGCAGTTGGTCTGTTAAAACTGTACAGTATGGGAGGAAACTGTAGTATTGTACCTGCAGAAAACCTGCCATGTTTGGTAGTGAGGGTAACATCTGTCCCAGGCTGGGGAATGAACCCAGGACACAGTGATGCACCACTAAAGATATACAACTCCTGATGTATCTGAGACAATCACCAGTGTTTTGGTATAAAAACAATAAACAATATTTTCATGGTTCTAAAGTGGTCTAGTTGCTGAATACATTGGACATTTTCCTGCAAATATTTGTATTCCAGGTATTAATCACATGCATTGTCAACTGTCTATCATGGTTAGTACGTACAGTAGTTCTGTCTACGGTACATATAAGACAGATATACTGTAGACAGATGGACAGAAAGATGTAGAGAGATATACCATATTTCCCACCATATAAGACATATTTTTAACCTAACAAATATCTCCATAATTCACCCTATATCATATATAACTGTATACATATACACCAGGCCAAGCCGTGTTATTTTTCAAATCATAGTTTTGGGTAGATATGCGTAATTTTATTCACTTTTTTAGCCGTTACATGTACACACAAGCTTTCTTAGACTTAGTACAAAAATTATTTTCAAAAGGTAAAAAATACACAATAAACTTTTATTACATCAGCAGAAGTCAGCCCACGAGGGGGGTGCACACCCCTGTCTCCCACATCTTTAGTGAAACAGTTGTCAAATGGCATGCAGTATTTTTTCCTTCCTCTTATTTATTATTATTATTTTTATTCGTTCCTCACATTGGCGAGGGTCAACTGTACTGTACAGGTTATGGACACATTGCAATTTTTCTCATTTAAATATTTGTTCCTTTTATGAAAGTTTAGTTTAGGTGAACTTTCTTGAGACTATAAACCTTTCATGCTATATCAGTGGTTGCCTTTAATATGGTGAGAAATACAGTACAGTAGTATAGATAGATAGATAGATAGCCTGAAAGTTAGACAGAAAGATAAAACAAAATCATCATCACCATCCAAATCATACAGCCATTTTCCACACCATCTCTTACAGTCTGTCTTGTCAGGTTCTAAGATCATTTCTTACAATCTCTCCCCATGTCATTCTTGGCCACCTACCACTGGCTCTCCTCCTCACCGCATTTAGAGTCAAGCACCACTTAACCCAGCTGGTCTCATCCATTCTCACCACACTCCCGGTGATTCTCATCTTTCAGCGTCACAGTACACATCCACCTCACCATTCTCATTTCAGCTCACTCAAGACTGCATATGTCATCCTCTTTAACTGCCCATGTTTCACGGATATTTAACACCACACTTCTCACACCAGTTGTATACATTCTTCCTTTCATGTGATGAAAGTCCTCTTGCTGACAATAAAGACAACAGTTCCCTAAACTTCCTCCAACTATTTCTGACTCTTGAAAATGAACAGCACCCTCTCCAGCACTGATCATGTCACCCAGGCAGCAGAACTCCTCCATGACTCACAACACAGCAGCCTTCAGCACCCTCTCCAGCACTGATCATGTCACCCAGGCAGCAGAGCTCACCCATCTCCATGACTCACAATACAGCAGCCTTCAGCAGCCCCTCCAGCACTGACCACGTCATCCAGGCAGCAGAACTCATCCGCACAGTCCAGGGATAATCGTCAGTGTTCAGTTTCTTTAGTCTTGCCGTGGACACATATTTACCTGCATATACACAGCACTTATAGTCAGCAACATCCAGCAGTCTGCCATCCACTCCACTGTACCTCTTGTGTACCCACCTTCCTCACTCACTGTACCTCTTATGTACCCACCATCCACTCCACTGCACTTCTTGTGTACCCACCATCCACTCCACTGCACCTCTTGTGTACCCACCATCCACTCCACTGCACCTCTTGTGTACCCACCATCCACTCCACTGCACCTCTTGTGTACCCACCATCCACTCCACTGCACCTCTTGTGTACCCACCATCCACTCCACTGCACCTCTTGTGTACCCACCATCCACTCCACTGCACTTCTTGTGTACCCACCATCCACTCCACTGCACCTCTTGTGTACCCACCATCCACTCCACTGCACCTCTTGTGTACCCACCATCCACTTCACTGCACCTCTTGTGTACCCACCATCCACTCCACTGCACCTCTTGTGTACCCACCTTCCACACTCACTGTACTTCTTGTGTACAGACCTTCCATAGATACTTGTATATATAGAGAGAGTCTGACAGTTGATATAGATACCAAACAGACAGACTGACTGACATACAGGTATTGAAAGACTGATAGAAAGATATAGAGATGCAGATACATAAAGATAGACAGTTAGACATACCTAGAAAAATTGAGATATAGAAAGATACAGCATATAGAAAAACACAGACAGACAGACTATGTCTGTTACATACCTGTAACAGCAGTGTCTCCATGATCCAGTTGTTAATTTCTCAAGGGCTTAGTCGTTACTCATCTGTAACAAACAAACAAAAAACATTAATATATACTGTACAACAGTTTATGATAAAAATATATCCATAAATTAATAGTCATTCAGTAGAGAAGTTGTTTGTTTTATGCAAGTTTGATTTATGTGAACTTTCTTGGAATTGTAAACCTTGCATGCTTGACAAACTCTGTCATTTTTGCCTTAATATTCCCCGCTAAATTATTGGTACACTCATACAGTGGTTTAGACAGGTAGACAGGTAGATATACAGTAGAATCTCAGTTATCCGGCACCTACGGGGATTGAGAGATGCCGGATTAACAGGTTTTCCCATTACTGTAGTTGAAACTAACTCTTGGGATCCTCCAATAAATCCTACAATACACAGTGCTACAGGCTGACCAAGCAAATTCAAGTCTTAGATTTTTTTTAACACTTAATAAACTCTATATAAATGATGTGGCTTATAAATAAAGGTACTACTTTACATGCTGATTAAGGATCTGGGTTCACAATTTAATAATTCAAGTAATTAGTGTTAATTAATGACCTTTGAAATAATTAAAGATATTTAGAATATTTCAAAAGTCAATTATGCTGTGCCTGCAAGTTTTAAATCACCTTTATATACATTCTCTAAATAATAAATAGATACTGACAGATATTGGTAAGCCATATGGAAAGACACACAGTATATAGATTGACAGACTGACAAATAATTGTATTGATAAATAGATTGACAAATAGAGATAAAACTGACTGCGACAGGTATTGATAGACAGATATTGGTAGATAATGGATAGATAAATTGACAGATATACTGAAAGGGACAGGGAGACAGACACACAAACATACATAAGTAGTTAGATCAGTGGTTCCCAACCTCTTCCATTCTGTGACCCCCAAACAAGATATAATAACTTCCGTTGCCCCAGTCTACATCTTTCTTCGATGAAACAAATTAAATGTCACTGGAAAGAGCAGTTGGATATGATATTTTATTATTATTAGTGGTATATACATTACCAGTAGCTACATAAAATAGAACTGCCCATTATTATTAGTGACATATACATTACCAGTAGATACATACTGTAAAATAGAACTGCCACACAATAAAAGATTCCAAGTCATGGATAGTGTATGTGAACCTCTGTGTGTGTCTGCAGTAAATGGTGTGTATTATAATCTCACATAAATAAACTCAACTCCACAACAACTGGGGTAATCAAAACTATGGACGCTGTGCATGTGCGTATAATTTACGGAAATGCAAAAAGAACATTCAAAAAGTTATTTAAAACTCAGTGGGTTGGCTGACATTGCTCTTTGTCATCAATCAGTAGTTTAGTCACAGTCAGGGCACAGTGGAGGCCATCTTCCACATGGAGTCAATAGCGCTGTTTCTATTTGATGCTCAACAGCGTGACAGACAGGTAGACGTGAATGGCAGAAGCACCGGGATAACCAGTTTGCTGATAATAAAGTAGCGGCCCATTGCCACCCAAAACTCTATCAAGCATCATTAGCTCAGATGGTTTATACCAGGGGTCAACAACCTTTACACACTAATCAGCCACATTGTAAACAAGAAATCAGCCATCACACAGTGCAGTTATGCAATATGTATTAAACTAAAACTTGAAATTGGGCATCAAGAAATATAGAACTAAACTATATACAGTACCGGTACTGTATTCAGACAAGTACTGTAATGGTATACGGAAATTTTGTTTGAGTATCCTAATGGGTGGTAATAAATACTAATACAACATAAAATTATGTTTCACATTGAACAATACAGAGGAAATAGTTACAGTACTACAATATGCATTTAATTCGACTCAAAAGAATATCCTCTGCAATTTTTGTGAAATCTGGTTCAAATTTATTAAAAGCTGCTACCACAACTGCCTTTTGTATGATTATTAGTGAGCTTTAAGTGGTACAGTACAGTACATGCTCTTTACAAAAGTCTACTCATTTATGTGTTACCTGATTCATGTTTTTTTCTCCAAAGTCTAACATTGACTCTTGCAGTTTAGTGAATGTTTCAGGATATTAATCTGCAGGTCCAAGAGCTAAAGCTGTGCATCACCAAGAGTACAGTACTACCACGTTGGAAACACCGCTTCGTGTCCATATAGGAAAGTTAGTACGTACTTAGATGGGTGACTGCCGTGCCCATGCTGCTGGCATAAAGACTCTACTGGAAATAATTATCTCCTGGCTTTGTTTGTCAGCTGTCCTTGGTCAAATTGTCTGAATATTACCTTTAACCTCATCAAAATATGGCTGACAATGACTGTCCATGTCTCTTTAAAAAGAAAAGGATTTAATTGTGAACCCAGATACGTAATCAGCATGTACAGTAGTACAGAACCGTAGTATGAATTTTAAACAAAATCAACTTTTTCCCCAAAAAACTAAGGTATTAGTTCAGGAATATTTTTGATGGAAATCAATATTTTGGGGGAAAGTGAAAATTAATGTGCTTATAGAATAAAGAAAGATGGTCTAAAATTTTAAATAACTAGCGTGGTTATATCGTAGAGATAGTCTATATTTTTAACTAAAGTGTTTATATAGTAAAGATAGTCTATATTTTTAACTAAAGTGTTTATATAGTAAAGATAATCCATATTTTTAACCGACGTGTTTATATAGTAAAGATAGTCCATATTTTTAACTAAAGTGTTTATATAGTAAAGAAAGTCTATATTTTTAACTAAAGTGTTTATATAGTAAAGATAGTCTATATTTTTAACTGACGTGTTTATATAGTAAAGAAAGTCCATATTTTTAACTAACGTGTTTATATAGTAAAGATAGTCCATATTTTTAACTGATGTGTTTATATAACAAAGATAGGTACGTAGTCTATATTTTTAACTAACTCACGAGTTTATATAGTAATGATAGTCTATATTTTTAACTAACGTGTTTATATAGCAAAAATAGATAGTTCATATTTTTAACTAACTTGTGTGTTAATTTTTTATTTTATTTTTATTTATTTATTTTTTTTTATACAGGGATTAGCCCACCCGGGCACAGGTCACTGACCCACATCGGGGCCTGGGGGGCTAAAATTTAATAATAATAATAATAATAATAATAATAATAATAATAATAATAATAATAATAATAAAGAAAAAAAAAGAAAAAAATCAAAAGTGAAAAACATATTTATAAATGTTGTGTTGTCAATAGTAAGAGAAACAATGAGACCTGCAATTGTGTGTAAATGAGGCAGACAGTCAGATGAGCAACCTGGGACTTGGTCACAATTTTTGTGATGCCATATGACAGCAGGGTCCACCATTAGACATCACATTATGCTTCTAATATCTTCCCAGGCGGTAGTGCCTCCCTGTTTGGTAGCTGCCTACTACTTATTACCTTTTAAATATTTAGAAAGATGTAAAAAGGAAGACAGACAAATGACTAACAGCAGCACAGTTACAACAACTTGTCTTAAGAATTTGACAGATTTCCTGTATAGGCCATGTATAGGCCATGAGAGCTGCTCCTATAGTTTACCTTGCCATAGGTGGTGGTGCTGTGGTGATAGTGCTGGTGACAGCTCTTGTTCCATGCTCCAGTTATCATTTTCAGCTGTTATGAAGCAGTTCAATTTCCCCAAGTTTTGTTATACCATCTCCTGTAACAAACAAAATATTATATTTACTATAAAACACCTGGGGAGGTTAGGTTAGGTTAGACCCAGACAGCTGCTGTACCATCTACTGTAATATTATCATCTTAGGTATTATTACAGTTTCAGCCACAACTCAGAGCAATTTTGTGTTTACCATTAGTTATATCTCACCAATAGGAACAACTTTATCTAATACCACTTCACGTAAGAAATTAACAGTAAACTGCAGTCACCATGTGTTGTCTGTTTACAACTGACCCGCTCAGTCTGAGGGTCTGAGCATACTGTACTGTTCTGTACTGTCCACAAAAAAATTAAAATTACACCTTGACGCTTCAACAAAGTTGCTTTCATTGGTACCAGATATCAAAATAAGTACTTTCTGTTTAATATGGCAGGGACGGCTAGGAAGTTAGGTAAGGTTAGGTTAGGTTTCTTTGGTTGGTTAGGTCAGGTTCTATGGAGGGGAGGGGTGTAACTCCAAAACCACTCATTTCCAATGGATATGAGGGTCAAATTTGAATGAAATACACCAAATACCAAGGGATTTTTTTTTATGGTCAAACAGTAGTTGTGGCTGAAACTGTAAATTTGCATTATCTTCAAACTCACTTAACACGACTAACAGTACACGACACACTAATAACAGTTTCCTACTGACGCCAGCATCATCCCAAACCAACACAGGTCAATATTTAGAAGGTGCCAACACCTAACTGAATATTGAGTCATATATGGGGAGAGAGAGAAAAAATTAAACATTTATTCAATACTGTTTCTGTTAGAAATTTATAGTTTGAGTTATTTTAACTTTTATTTTATAATATTTGGCCAATCAGCAAGAGTGTTGATGGGACATAATACTCGTGTGCTCATCAGCTTTTGCGGCAGCCATTGACTTTTTTGGGCTCACGGTGTTCTTGTTTAATCTGTAAAGTGTCGGAGATGTAATTCAGAGTGTCAGTACCATGTAGATGACCATGCATGGTACTGTGGTAAGAGAGGGACTTTGATGGCCACTTCCTCATTCAAGTCACATCTCTCCATCCTCCTGTATCTCTTACTTAAGGTAAGTTTCTTACACACTAAGGGTTAGGTTAGGTTTTTTTCAAAATCTCAACTACTGCTCATTTCCAACAGCAATTTGTATTTAACATGATGATTTATACTATACAAACCCATTTTCAATATTCAGTTGCCTGGTGGCAACTTGTAAATATTGACCCAGTAGAATCATACATAAATATATTGAATAATAGGAAATATTACAGTAAACAGCAACCACAGAATTCCGGAAATTCACTACCGTACACTCAATCCATAGAACGATTTTTTTCTATGATCATTTTCTTATATTACAACTCCATCGCAAATTGATAATAAGGAAGTTATTGAATTTTAAAAGAATAAAATCAGAGCACCTGTTGCCCCTATGCTGTTGCTCAAATTATGAGTGTTTGTGTGTTCCCTTACCTCCCTCTACACACTAATGTCATGATATTAAACACAATGGAAACGACAATGCATAGAACCTAATCAGAACCTGACCTAATATACCCAACCTATGGGTTTGTTAGGTCAGCTTCTAATAGGTTCTTTGCATTATTGTGTTAATTTATATGTTAAACAACTTACTTAATATTGGGGGTTGATATACGTCAGCAATGGCGAGGAGGAATACGTGGAAGAGTTCACCATCATTTAGGAAACGTCTCTTGAAGAGGGATTCAGCGAGGTAAACAACAAAAGTGGCGCCGGGAGGAGAATTGTGAAGTGGGGGAGGTGAATTGTGAAGTGGGATAGAGCAAATAAAAACACTGTCAGGTTCTATTAGGTTCTATGCATTGTCGTTTCCATTGTTGTGTTTAATATCATGACATTAGTGTGCAGAAAAAAATTAAACTAATTCGGACAATTCCTTCTGGTGGTCACCCTCTTCTACACCTTTACTCTACCTTGTTACGAATATGAATCATGGTTCAGGTGGGCCCAGTTGGAGGTATCTGCACAGCATTCCCAGCTTTTGCATTGTCTAAAATATCCTCACAACAGTTATAAGACTCTCTCTATAATCCCTGCACACACATCTGCTCTACACACTAATAAATCCTAACAATACAATATAACAAAACAATTACTTCACAACTTACAGCAGCTGTTGTTGTGTACACGTGAGGGGCTGGACAAGGCTCCCAGTCAGGTAGAAACGTTATAGAACTTTCCAGCTGATTATTGTCATTAATATTATTTTTTTTAACCATATAATACTATACTGATGTTTATAATATGCAAATAATTAATACTAATTGCCTAAATATGAGAACATATTTGCCAATCAAGATATAATGGTAGAATGGTCTAACGGTTTCTAAATGGCTCTAAAATCGTTTTACGTAATTTTATTTTTTTAAGTCCTTTCACGTCTTTTTACGTATTTGTATGTTATGTTTTTTTATCATATATTTAAAATTTTTAAGTCTTTTGTTATTTACGACAAAGCTAAAGAGTCCCGGTCAAAGAGTATAATAAGAAAGACGGGAAAGTCTATCCTTTCCGAAAAAAAACTTGAGCCACTGAGCTCTGATCAATGCCATCTGTTGGCCACGCGGCTAACTAAACCCCGGGGTGTGTGAGGGTAGATCATGTCTCTATGGTGTGGTAACAACTAACCAGAGGAGTGAGATGGGTTCCATGTTTTTCACGTTGCTGTATATCATTGATCATATCGCATTTACTGTGTGATATTGTATGCGTGTGTGTCAGTATGTATGTATGTGTGTATTATAATCTTGATGTCTTTGCCTTGACGTTCTTAACATGTTCACACACACATATACATACATATTGACACACACACATAATATCACACAGTAAATGCGATATGATCAATGATATACAGCAACGTGAAAACATGAAACACAAGCTCAGGGTGATCTTTTTTTACACGTGTGCATACGGTACACGGGTGATGGTGACGCCCACTCATGATTAAATGTCGTCTCTTCATGTAAACCAGAGGGGTCCGCAATATAGTCCTGCATTTTCTGTTTACCCATTCAGTCCTGTTGACTTTTGTTGTCGAGTACAGCTGCGGCCGACCGCTGATTATTTGCCAGCTGAAGTGGTCAACGAGGATCACAAGGTTGCGGACCCCGTGAATTCCAGTGTGTGCCTCGTGGTCTAGGTCAACCAGCGCCGCCATACATCACGGAGGTCAACTACTAAGCCACGCCTACCCCCGCGATTGAAGACCTGACCTCGTGGTGACCTGTCTCTTTCTACCCACACCAACCAGCCAGCAACACCTCCTCCTCCTCCGCCTGCCTGGCAGTCCTCGCTCCCGCCGGCGAGCATAGCGACCCACAAGCTGGTCCTCCTCTGAGCACCCTCACCAACCAGCTCTCTACATCACGCTTGTAACCATGCTGCCTTCCCAGCACCAAGCTGCATTGTACATCCAATACAACATGTATACAGAGAGCACATTGTGAGTTTCCTTTCTCCACCCCATCCTGAGTGTGAACCAAACATCCCGTACCCCACAGTACCTTACGATAAATTGTAGACCAGAAAAAAAAGCCTTGTGATATTTTTAGAATAAAAATGTCCTTCAGATATTACTATATAAGGTAGCATAAAGCTGGCTTTTTGCAATGCAAAATAAGGACTCAACATGCCAAATACAGATACACAGAACAATACTAAAACTAATGTGAGGGTTGAGCCTGGATATGATTTGCAATTTCAGCAAAATTTGGTTTAAATATTACCATCACATTTACTTTTATCTAAGAACAATATAATAATTTTTGAATTGATTCCACCTTTAACTCAGAAAACCTTACATGGAGAAATATAGCCGAATTACTTCCCAGACTACAATAATGGTAGTTACCGTACCTTACTGGGTGGTTAATGCTGATTGGTAGATAGATGGATAGATAGATAGATATAGAATTGATATAAATAGATAGATAGATAGGTCAGTAGCGAAAAGGATAGAGAAAAATAATTCCTTTAATAAAAAAGTGTCCCTGTGTGTCCCAGGGAGTGCCAGTGTCCCTGTGTGTCCCAGGGAGTGCCAGTGTCCCTGTGTGTGCCAGTGTCCCAGTGCCAGAGTGGCCCAGGGAGTGCCAGTGTCCCTGTGTGTCCCAGGGAGTGCCAACGTCCCTGGAAGTGCCAGTGTCCCTGGGAGTGCCGGGAGTGCCAGTGTCCCTGTGTCCAGGGGCTCTCCAAGAAGTGATGGCGACCCTAGGGGCGGCAGTGCCCCCCAAGGGCCCTTCCAGGGGTCCTCCCAGGAGTGGCAGTGGCCCCAGAGGCCCTCTTTAGGGGTGGCAGCGCCTGCAGGGGTCCTCCCAAGGGCCACGGCGGCCTTAGGAGCCCATGCAGGTGTGGCTGTGCCCCCAAGGGCCCTCCTAGGGGTAGTGGCAACCCCAGGGGCTATTCCAAGTGTAGAGGCATCCCAGTGGCGGCCGTGCCCGCAGGGGCCCTCTCTAAGGGTGATGGTGACCCCAAGGGCCCTACCAGAGGCGGTGGCTCCCTCTGGGGCCCTCCCAAAGGCGACGGCGCCCTTAGGGGCCCTGCCATGGGCGGTGGTGCCCCCAAGAACCCTTTCTGGGGTCGTGGCACCCCCAGCGGCCCTTCCAGGGGCCATTCTTGGGAATGCAGCACAACCAGGAGCCTTGCTAGGGGCAGCTACACACCCAAGGGCCCTCCGAGGGGGACCGGTGCACCTGGAGGCAATTGATTTAGAATATAAGGTCCAAGATTCAATTGTGGGGTAAATGTGATGTTGGTGTTTATGTGTTGTTCTGTAAGAACTTAATTAGTTAAACTCCTTAAATTTTGATTCCGAGAGAAAAGTATATTTTGGTCGAAAAATTAATTAGGTGTACGGCTATGTTTTCGACAGTTTTGGCCCAGGGGCCCTCCTAGGAGTGGCAGTGCCCCCAAGAGCCCTCCCAGGGGCAGTGGCACCCCCTGGGACCCTTCCAGAGCCGGCAACACTCCCTGGAGCCCTTCCAGGGGCCCTCCCAGGGGTGGCGGCACCCCCAGAGGCCCTCCCAGGGGCCATTCTAGGGGGGGTGGCTGCCCCAAGAGCCTTTCCAGGGGCGGGAGCTAGTGATTCTCTCAGGGGCAGCGGCTAGGGGTTCTCCTGGGGGCGGTGGCTCCCCCAGGAAAACAAGTTAATTTTTTCCGAGATTCACTAGTACAACTAATAACCCAAATAATGAAATAATGTTGCATATTTTAACAATCAAAATGTTTGTGAGGCCTGCACCTGTGACACTCAAGAGGCCCTCATCCTTTGATTGGCTATTGAACAAAAAAGGTTAATAATAAATACAATACAGCAAACTTTTAATATTCTTTGTGCATAACAATTCTTACTTAATCCTTTATTCATATTTATAGACTTCAGTATATATTCCTGCGAACTTACCAAATTTGTAAAAAATAAAACAAATTTGTTCAATCTTGAATACTAATTATTTCTATTTCAGGGGGTCATATTTTAAGCATGCAGAGTAGGATGACAGTTACGGTAACTCTTTGTAAAAAATAACTGCTATAAACTGGCCCACACCACAAGGATTATTTCTATGGATTTATTTATTTATACACCATATCTAAAAAGAATTAAAAAAAAAAGAAGAGAGAAACTGAGTTTACCACTGACAACTACAAACCTCGTTTGGCAAAGATAATAAAGTGGTAGCAACTTTAAAGAGTAAATGATGCCAAAATAAAAATGCTATGTAAAAACAAAATTTGTATCTCACTTTTTGCTCAGCATAAAATTTCACAGCTAATTAACTGCCACTTGGACTTTACCCAACAGACATGGATTGTGTCCGCTTCCTATCACTTCTACGTCTACTCCGCATATAGAATCTTCAGTAAAGAGCTTTAATACTAATTCTACAGCCACATGTCTCTCAATAGATTATAATTATTTGACAAGTTTCCCTATGGATTACATAATATTTGGCAAAAGTATTGGATTCTCTCACATAAAAATAATAAGCAGCAGCATATTCTGGGTAACAGAGAAGAGATCCTCAGTCTAGGGTGTGCAGTTGAATTCATAAGAATATATATGTTGCCATATCATAAAGGCACATTCAACTCTCAAAAACAGTAAAGTGCTTTAAAATATTTGATTGATTGGCATAAATTTTTACATATTGGGAATTAAAAAATGAATCTTCCCTCACAGTCCACAAGCAAGTGAACAATACATTTACTGTATATGAAGATGAGTTATGTTGTTGAGTCTGATCTAACTCTTCTAATTTACTCAATCTATTCTAGCTGGAGTTTATTTCTTCTAAACTTGAATAATGTAATTACTGCAATGATTCATTACTACTCATCCTACAAAGAATGATTGATATGTTTCAAGATGTAATAACAAGATGAAATGCAAAGAACAACAACCAGAAATTTAACAATAATAACAAAGAGAAAAATAACTACTGTAGTTAGAACAGCACGAGTTTTGGGGGAATGAAACTTGGCAGCGGGTTATTTAGCTAAATGTTCTGTGATTCTGGAGAAAGTTTTTAAAGTAAACTTTAATACTGATGCAAGGTAAGTTTAGAATTACACACAGATACGGAAAAAAATCAGAAGAAATAATTTTTTTTTTACTTTTAATATTAAAGAGTATGTGTTGCTTTTTACATACTGGAGAAGTCTTACTCATTCAGTTTAGTGTTTTTTTAATTACTACAGGCACTCCCTGGGTGAGGGAAGGGTTCTATTCCTGAAAATCTTTCCGCATTGCGAAATTCCACATCACAAAACCATTTTTCCCGTTGACACCCATTGAGAAGCGTTCCTACGGAAATTTTTTGCAGCCCAAAAACGTAACACAAGCACATTATGAATAAAAATAGACAATTTTATACAATGATTCATTTATGATGTAACATACCAAAAAATGTACATACTTGAATTTAACTCACCAGAGACGATGTTTATTATCCAACATAATTCCTTTATGGAATCTTTCATCACTACTGCTTTCACTTGAACTTGATGGTCTTTTTCCATTCATCTTCAACAAGGGTACACAGTAACACAAGATGAATAACTGAACACAAACTGGGGAAAGAATTCAAACTGAGCAGCACCACTGTTGTGGTTGTTGCTGGCAACTGGGCAGGTGAGCCGCCTGCCAGCCAGCCGTCTTATAGTAACCGTCAGAATCCAC